AACTAGGCCTGTGTACTGAGCTATGTCTCCAGCCTCAGCTATAATTAATTATTTCTCTATAAGTCTGCAAGTAGACTAGCAGAATCGTTAAATGTGCAATTAATTGCATAGTGGGGCAGAAAGAACCTGTGTAAATATAACAGATATACAATGGTATGCTTTAAAAGCTTATTGATTCCAGCAAGTTATGTGATCCTGTTTAGGTGCTGCCGCAATCAGTCACATGCTACGTATGTGTGTAAATGCTGTAATAGTGCCTGCATGTTTGGATTGCTAATACTACAGAGAAGGTGGGAAAGATTCTAATACTAATACTTTCAGCTTAGCCAGATCTGCCCTCCATTTCCATTGTATTATTTGGTTATTCTCTGGTTTTATTTCAGGATTATGAGTGTGATGATTGATTATCTACCACATGGCCTTTTGTTGTCTTTGTAGAATACCCAGCCAAAAGTTCGGAAGATGATTTGAAAGTTTAGACCTTAATTGATTAAAGGCTTTATGATCATGGGATTCTGGTCACCATGGTCTCCCTGCTATCCAGCCCATCATTGGTAACAAATTTGGTGCTATGTATGCTATATATCATGTCTTGGTTGAGTTTTCTTTCATGTTTTAAAATCATCTCTCACAAAAAGCAAATAATGCTTGCAGTTGCACACCTGAATTATTTTGTTTTTATATGCTTATGGTAACTTAAATTGAGGAAGCAAAAATGTTATACTTGTTTGTAGATTTGTTCTGTGTTTTAGGAAGTTGAGGAAGTTGTAGTCATAACTTGGTTTATGAGACTTCTGTGTTAACATTTTTTTTTTTTTGTCTTTTTGAGACAGGGTCTCCCTGTAGCCCCAGCTGACGTAGAACTCACTGTGTAGAGCAGGCTGTCCTTGAACTCACAGAGATTTGCCTGTCTCTGCCTCCCAAATGCTGGGATCAAAGGTGTGTGCCACCATGCCTGGCTTGTGTTAACTTTTTTAGCTACTAATATCACACTTTTCCCAGACTCAAACTATAATTCTGAGAGTTGTCTCTTTGGTTCTTTCTATTTCATAATTACTCATATCGAAGAATCAGTGAATTCTGCTTATTTTGAACCCTTCACTTTTTCTAGCTCATCTCCTTTTCCTGCTGCCTCTGTTTTAGATCAGGTGCCAGGTTAAGTTCTCAGCTTGAATTGATTGATCTCCTTGCTTTAGCCTTTTCTTCAAAATTAGTTGTCTATTTATTTTTATTTTATGTGTTTGAATGTTTTGCCTGCATGTATATAAGTGTACCATGTGTATGCAGCGTCTGTAGAGGCCAGAATAGTGCATCAGATCCCCTGGAACTGGGGTTACCAATGGCTGTTAGCCACCATGTGGGTGCTAGGAACCCAACCCACATCCTTTGCAAGAATAGTCAGTGCTCTTAACTACTGAGCCATCTTTTCAGTCCCCTAGTTGTCTGTCTCGAATCTGTGTTCTTCTCAATGATCCACTTTAACAACCCTAAAGTTCAGGCATCTCTGGCAGCAAGCACTTTCACAATTACAGGCCATGCTGAGACAAAGCAACTGACAGAAATGCTTCCTAGCATCCTAAACCAGGTTGGTGCCAACAGTCTGACTAGTTTAAGGAAACCGGCTGAAGCTCTGCCCAAACAATCTGTAAATGGAAAAGCACCCCTTGCTACTAGAGAAGATGATGATGATGAAGTTCCAGATCTTGTGGAAAGTTTTGATAGGCTTCTAAGAATGAGGCAAACTGAATTGAGTCAACTTCTGAAAAGATAAAACTTTGAAGTTACTGGGACCTGCTCTTTTATTTTATGAATGCTTTTTAAAAATTCTTTTGTTTATGGATCTGATAAATCTAGATCTCTAATATTTTTAAGTCTAAGCTCCCTGGACACTGCAGCTCTTTTCAGTTTTTGCTTATACACAATTTATTCTTTGCAGCAAATTAAGCTGAAGAAGCCTGGGAATAAAGTTTGAAAAAATTTAATAAAAAAAAAAATCCGTGTTCTTTTCCATAAAACCTTTTAAAACTTCTGTCTGCTACAGGTTAAGTCCAAGATTTTTTTTTTTTTTTTGGTTTTTTTGAGACAAGGTCTCCTGGAACTCACTACGTAGACCAGGCTGGCCTGGAACTCACAGAGATCTGCCTGTCTCCGTCTCCCAAGTGCTGGGATTAAAAGTGTGTACCACCATGCCTGGCTAAATCCAAAATTTTTAATCTTAGAATTATAATAAATTCTTATTCATCCTTTAAGGCTCAGCACAGTACCCTGTAGGAGTTCCCAACCACAGTTTTGGCATTAATTTTCTGTGTACTAAACAACTCCAATAACTAGACTTTATCTTTTAGGGAAGGAATGAAGAAAACCAATGCGTATGTGGGTAAAGTTTCCTCCTGCCCAGAGGGAGTAAACACATGAGGTTGATGAGTGTGGTAAACAGGCCTATAACCCCATTGTTGTAAAGCTTAGACTATGTTTTGACAGGGAGGGTAGTATTATTACAAATAAAATTGGCAGTGTCATGGTAAGCCTTCTTGGAGGTTTACTCATTCTTATAGCCCAGTCCTGGCTTATCTTTGCTGTGTGGATGGATTTATCAGACCAGACATATCGGATATATTGATGCCTATTGCACAACATTAACCATTCTAATCAACTCTTACTTACCACAAAATGTAGTCAGATGAACTAGTTTGCTCTGTAGGAAGAAAAGAAATTTATCAATTCTCTTGTAAATAAATGAATTGGATTTACATACTAGGTTTTTGTTGTTGTTACTGTGAGTCACTAAATAAATATGAACTATAACCATATTTATCTAAGTCATTAAAGCTGAGGACTAGATCCTTGGTTGCATGGGATGATAGCATACAATTTGGTAAGATAAAAGTACCTTGTAACAACTTTTTGACAGGTGATCAACCCATTTTTTTTTCTGGTGATACACTAATGTGTACCCTTCCTGACTGCTTTGTTTAAAATTACCCCTGCAAGTATTTCTCTGAGGCTCCTAAAACTAATACGTAAATTATTTTGGATAAATAGATGTCTTATAATAGATTTTGAATTTTTCATTTATGTACAGTTAAATAATGAATTCTGGTATCAAAGTATTTCACTTGCCTTGGATGTTTGAAAAATAACAGGCATTTATTGAATACATACTATGTGTCAGGCAGTATACTGGATTATGTAATATTCTTAAAATATTGATGCAGGGCCGGGTGTGGTGGTGCACGCCTTTTATCCCAGCACTTGGGAGGCAGAGGCAGGCAGATCTCTGTGAGTTCAAGGCCAGCCTGGTCCACATAGTAAGTTCCAGGACAGCTGGGGCTACAGGGAGACCCTGTCTCAAAAAGACCAATATATCTATTGATGCAAGAGGCTGGGGAGATGGTTCAGTGATTAAAAGCAGTGACTGTTTTTATAGAGGACCCAGGTTCAGTTCCCAGCATTCACATGGCAGCTAATAACTCTCCACAACTCCAGTTCCAGGGGATCCAACACCTTCTGACTGCTGCAGGCACTACAGGGGTGCACCTATGTACATGCAGGCAATATTCTCCTACACATAAAATAAAAATAGTAAAATATTTTTTAAAATACTGATGCAAGCCAGGCATGATGGTGTACACCTTTAATCCTAGCACTCAGGAGGCAGGTGAACCTCTGTGAGATTGAGGCCAGCTTGGCTTATATAGTGAGTTCCAGGCCAGCTGGGGTTACAGGGAGACCCTGTCTCAAAAGAAAAAAAAAAAAATGCAAGTATTTTTATAGATTGGGAATCCAAGACTTGAAAAGGTTAAATAGCTTTCCCTGGTCAGAGTTAGGAATATAGCCAAGGAGATCTGAACCTAGAGCTGGTAATCTCCAAAGACCCTTCTCTTACTAGTGCATTTGTTTAATAAACATATGTGCATTTAAATAATTATGCATTTTGATAATTACTTTTTTATTATTTTTATTTTATGTGTATGAGTGTATTGCCTGCATGTATGAGAGTGCACCTGTGTCGTGCAGTGCCACAGAGGTCAGAAGAGGACTTCGGATTCCTCTGGAACTGGAGTTAAGGACGGTTCATAGCCACCATGTGGGTGCTGGGAATCGAAACTGGGTCCTCTGCAAGAGCAGTCAGTGCTCTTAACCGCTGAGCCATCTCTCCAGCCCCGATAATTACTTTTAGACACCGCCTTCCCCCCAGTGTATGTGTGTGTGGGTGTGTGTGGGTGTGTGTATGTGTGTGTGCGCGCTCACGCACGCATGTGCACAATCAAATCCAGGGCTTTGTGCATGCTAGACAAGTCTTGTACCGCTTTGCTATATACTTCACTCCTTTTTTTTTTTTTTTTTTTTTTTTTTTTTTTAGGGTCTTCCTGTAGCCCCCAGCTGGCTTGGAACTCACTATGTAGACCAGGCTGGCCTTGAACCCACAGCCTTCTGCCTCTGTTTCCCAAGAGCTGGGATTAAAGGTACATGCCACCATGTCTGGTAGTTCACTCCTTTTAAACTGTTTTTAAACCTATAGAGCTTAATTAGACAGCAGTGCTACTTTTATTTTAGATATGTTTCTTGTTTGGGGATTCAAAAAGAAAAAAAGAACATTATGGATTTCCATTTCATTCTTACAGACTTAATTTATAAGATTAAATCAATTTATAAGGTTAAATCAATTCTTGCCTAATTATAACAGCTCTTCCTTTCTCCTGAATTAACTTCTACAAGAATTTTGGTTCATGCCAAGGGTTTTTTTATTCCATATTTGCTGTTAAATATGTGACTGTTTCTTTTAAATTATTATATATTAAAGGCAGCATCATTACCCCACAGAATCCTCTACCCTTCTCTAAATATGAATTCTGCCTGTTCAGCAGCAGCAGAAGCTCTGCATTGTTTTTTGTTGGAAGTGAACTGACAGGGATGGACATTCCTACTGCTTAGTGAGTACAGTAAGCTGTGATATACCCTTGTTGTATTATTAATGGCTCCATGTTTTTATGTTGCAGATGGCTGAGAGCTAGCAAGAAAAAAATCAGGATCATGATGGCTCAGTTTCCCACAGTTATGAATGGTAAGCAGCTTTATGTTTGTGACAGGCTAAGGAGGATATGGGTTTTATTGTGGTGGTGATGGGTTTTGGCTTTGTTGTTTTTTTTTATATATATACAGAGGTTTAAAATACTTGTGTAAATAATTTTCCTTGACTTTATTAATGTAAAACTTCAAATATTCTTTATGAAAATACTGATAATTTATTTCATGGCATTGCATGTATCTTCTATTAGAATATTTTGCAGTAAATTCCAGACTTCTGTTTGTGTTCTGTGGTATTATTGGGAAAGTGTACTTTCCATCAAACAGGAAGGAATAACCTAAAGTATAGTCTGTTTAATACACAAAACTGAACTACAAAAAGCAGGGTGCCATTAGGTGAATAGTAATGCACTCTCTCTCTCTAATATTTAGTTTTTATTGTATGTAAATAGCATCTTGGGTATTTGAATTATTTAATTTAGAATTATTAGAATATTGACATTACTACCTAAGTATGTTTCTTTATACGTGTTTGCATATATACATATGTGTGTGAGTGTATCTACACATGTAAAAACAGGGATGTTACTATTGACTGCATGGGATCAAGCATATAATGGATGCTCTATAAGTGTGGATTTTCCTTCATTAGTTATAAGAACATGCTTAACAGAGCTGATAACCAAGAAGAGAATAAGCAGCAGAAATGTGTTTGGAAATATCACATTCTTGACTTAGTGATAATTTGGGGGAAAATGAATGAGATTTTAATGGATTTCTAAATTTGATTATCCGACAGTGTGAGAGAATATTAGTTTTTAAAGGTAATACTAAACGTCAATTTCTAAACTTATTACTCTTTCTTTCCTTCTTTTTTCTTCTCCTTCCTTCCTTCCTTCCTTCCTTCCTTCCTTCCTTCCGTCTCTGTCTCTCTCTTGTTCTCTCTCTCTTTCTCTCGTTCATTCATCTTCCTGTAGCCCCTACTCATAGATTCACCTGCCTCTCTTTCCCAAGTGCTGGATTAAAGGCATGTGCCACCACACTCAGCTTACTCTATCTTTCTATAAGGCTCAAAATAGAGACTAAGAGGTTTTTTGTCCACCCCCCCCAGGTATAAAATAGCAAACTGTTAGCTCTTTGAAAGGTTCTGTTACTGCTGCATATTCTGAGTAAAAAAGGTAGAATTTATATTTCCAAGTTTTCTCATTTTGAGGTGATCTCATTTCTAGAAAGTTCTTGACACATTAATATCTTACATGACTACTTTATCATTTGCTGTATAGTGTCCAAATTTGAAGGTTATTTTGAACACTATTTAGGAATTATTCCATGTCATGATTAACTTGTTGAGCATTTCTAGTCTACAAGTAATGGTAATCGTAATAATATTTAATAGTTACTATTTGTGATTTTCTTGGCTGGTGGAGTCTTAAACATTAGAAAGTCTGTGAGCTCCAGTAAGGGATTTTATATATTCATGTTTGTATCCCATTTATATTCAGTACATGAATATGAAGAGGTCAGAGTTGCTGGTTGGAGTCATGAGGAATTAGTCAGTCAATATTAACAGGTCGGTTGAGTTTGCCACTATGAAGACAAGTAGCCAAGAAAAGTTGAGGAGATAGTTGTATATGAGCGTCATAATGCGACAAGGATTGGTACATTGGGCCTGCTGCAGCATACTGTCTGTTGTCTTAGGAGAGACGTAGCCAATTGCTGCCTAAGAATGTACACATATGTGTTAGTGCAGCTCAAGCCTCTTCTGAATCAGACCCTCAGACTTCAAATAGTCTTAAGGTTTCTGACAATCTTCTTGTGATAATCTCTTACAAGAGTACTGTACCAGAAGAAGAGCTTGAAAGATTTTCCCTCTGTCATAATAGAGATTGAAACCAGGGCCACATTCATCCTCAGCTTGTGCTTTAATACTGAGCTGCTCCAACAGCCCCAACTTCTTTTTAATTATATTGTTTACTGGGATTGACTTGAATAAGGAACCCAACTTAATGAGTACCTTCCATGTGGCAGGCAGATATCAGATGCTTTATATTTTTGCTCTAGCTTTTTTGTTGTTATTGTTTGGTTTGGTTTGGTTTTGGTGCAGGGGGAGGGTGGGGAACGGAGTTTCACTGTTTCTCTGGCTAACCTTCCACTTGTCTCCCAAGTACCTGGGACTATAATAAGCACATGTTAGCATTCCTAGTTCGTTTTAGTTTATTTAAGTTGAGGTTATTGATGGTATTATTCACTCTTTTTTACTATACAGTTTGATGAATTCTAACAAATTCATTTAGTTGCATAAATCTGGAAATAGAACATTTCCATTGCCTAAAAATGTCCCTTGTGTGCCTTTGCCTCATCCTTGACCACTGGCAGCCACTGTAGATTTGCCTCTCCCAGAATATCAAAACAAATGGAATACACAATATGTAGCTTTTTGTGTCTAGCTTCTGTTACTTGGAAAAATACTTTTGTGATTTATCTGTGATGCTGCATGCAATTTTCCTTTTTAACTGCTGAGCATTCCATTGAATAAATGTGTACCACATGGACTGGAGAGATGGCTCAGTCAGTAAAATGCACACTGTGCAAGCACCGTGACCCAAGTTTGAGCCTCAGCAGCCACATAAAAAGGTGTTCTGCCGGGCGTGGTGGCACACGCCTTTAATCCCAGCACTTGGGAGGCAGAGGCAGGAGGATCTTTGTGAGTTCCGGCACTTGGCAGGCAAAGAGACAGGCCGATCCTTAGAGTTCACTCGACAGCCAGCCTAACTGATCTGTGAGGTCCAGGTTCAGTGAGAAACCCTGACTTAAAAAATAAGGTATAGGGGCTGGAGATTTGGCTCAGCAGTTAAGAGCACTGACTACTCTTGCAGAGGACCTGGGTTCGATTCCCAGCACCCACATTGTTGCTAACAACAGTCCAGAAGTCTAGTTCCAGGGGATCCAATGCCCTCTTCTTGCCTCCTTGGGTATTGCATGTTATGGGTGCACTTTCATACACGCAGGCAGAACACTCATACACATAAAGTAAAAATGAATAAATAAAAAAGTAAATAAGGTAGAGAACAGTTATGGAAGATACCTTATGTCTGGCCTCTACACCTATGTGCACACACACACACACCATACATGTTCCTAAATAAATGCATACTACACTTTGTTTATCCACTTATCAGCAGGATGCTTTTGGGTATTTCCAGGGTTAAAAGAGATTATGACTAAATCTGCTTTGGCTATCAGAATAAGTTTTTATATGGAAATAGGTCTTAATTTCTCATGGATATTAATACAATTCACAGTTGTTACACCTCAAGAATCTATTGAAATTTGTATGGTAAATATTTAACGTAATAAATTGCCAAACTGTTTTTTAAAAAATTGATTTATTTTTATTTTATGTGTATGCATGTATTGCCTGCATGTGTATAAGTGCACCCGTGTCATGCAATGCCCATGGAGGTCAGAAGAGGCTATCGGATCCCCTGGGACTGGAGTTACAGACAGTTGTTAGCTGCCATGTGGGTGCTGGGATTTGAACCCAGGTCTACTGCAAGAACAACTAGTGTTCTTAACTGCTGAGCCATCTCTCCAGCCCCACCGAACTGTTTTCTAAAGTGACTTTTCATTATACTTTCCCATCAGCAACATAAAAGTTTCTTGGTATTGTTGTCAGTTCTTGGTATTGTCCATTGTTTTTGTTTGTATGTTTGAATATCAGACATTCTTTTTCAGGCATTCTTTAGTCATGCAGGGATGTATTTTTGTGGGATATGTTTTAATTTGCATTTCTGTTGTGATCAATAAGATCAAGCATCTTGTCACATGCTTATCCCTCTCTTTTGGCATTAGAGATAAAAACCAGGGTTTTTACATGCTAGGCAGGTGTGGTCTCATTTAGCTGTATTCCTAGCCAGGAAGATTTTTTTTTTTAAGTATTGAGTTGAATAGTTCATTATATATGCTTTGTTTATATATTCTTTATGTATTTTATCAAATATGTTGTACTTTTTCCTAGTCTGTAATTTGTGTTTTCACTTTCTTTTTTGAGACAAGGGTTTCACTGTGTGGGCCAAGATGGTTTCAAATTCATGGATTCAGGTGGTTCTCCACCTCAGATCCCTAAATAGCTGAGACTATAGGTGTGCTACACCTATAGTTTCCATTTCTTAACAGTACTTTTAAGTACTCTTAACAGTACTGGCTGTTTCCATTTTCTTAACAGTACTTTTAAGAGAACAGAAGGTTTGGGGGCTGGAAAGTTAGCTCAGCCGTTAAGAGCATATATTGCTCTTGCAAGTTCAGTTCCTAGCACCCACAACGGGTGGCTCACAACTGCTTATAACTCCAGGGGAATTCAACTCATTCTTCTAGCTTCCACAGGCACTGCACTTAAGTGCACCAGTTCACACACAAACCCACACATATGTAAATAATTAAAAATAAAATCTTTTAGAAGAGAGAATAGAAGGATTAGGGTGTGTGTGTGTGTGTGTGTGTGTGTGTCACATGTGGGCACATGAATGTTATTGCATGTTTGTGGAGGTCAGAGGACATCCTTGTGTGTTGTTCCTTGTTGCCTTCTACCTCATTTGAGACAGGGTCCCGATTTTCCCTCTGCATTTACCAGGCTAGCTGGCCTGTTGAGCTTCTGGAGATTTCTCCTGTCTCTACTTCTATATCCCTCTAGGAGTACTGAGTTTACAGACAATCAATGGCACTACACATCCATGTTTTTATATATGCCTGTGGATTTGTACACAGGTCCTTCACTTGAGTGGTAAGCGCTTTTACCCAGAGTCACCTCCCTAACCCAAAGATTAGCTTTTGATGCAGTCCAGTTTATCAAAAATGTTGATAGTTTGTGTTTTGTGTCCAAAGAGTCATTGCATAATCCATAGTCACAAAGGTTTCTTTTGGGGTGTGGGATGAAGGGGCACAGTACTGGAGAGCAAACACATGGCCTTGTACATGCTAGGCTAGTATTCTCTTGCTGAGCCATCTCCCTAGCCCTTCTGTGTTTCCCTAAAGAAATATTGTAGTTTAGTTCTTATACTTAGTTCTGTGGTCCACTGAGTTATTTTTTTGTATATGATGCATCATCAAAGTTTATTTTTTGTTTTCTGTATGATCAGTTCTTTCAGTGTCTTTTGTTAAAAAGGTTATCTTTTCTTGGTTGAATTCTTTTTTTAATTTTAAATATATTTTTATTTTATGTTCATGAGTGCATTGCTTGCATGTAAGTGTACCCGTGCCAAGCAATGCCTTTGAAGGTCAAAAGAGAGTGTCAGATCCCCTGGAACTGGAGTTACTGATGGTTAGCTGCCATGTGGGTGCTGGGAACCAAACCCAGGTCCTCTGCAAGCACAGCCAGTGTTCTTAACCGCTGAGCCATCTCTCCAGCCCCTTAAAAATTTTGTTTTATGTATATGAATGTTTTACCCGCGTCTGTAAGTGCACATGTGTCATGCAGTGCCCATAGAGGCCCAGAAGAGTGTGTTGGATCCCCTGGAACTGGAGTTACAGATGGTTGTGAACAGCCATGTGGGTGCTGGGAATCAAACCTGGGTCCTCTGTAAGAGCAGCCAATGCTCTTAAAGGCTGAGCCATCTTTCTAGTGCCCTAGTTGAATTTCTTGCATTGATTTTGAAAATGGATTTGTAGATCTATTTCTTTTTAATTATCATTAAGGCAGAGAGTTTAAGAACTCAATTGGGCCTAAGTAGATTTCAATCTTGCATTCAACACTTATCACCTTGGACAAATTGTTTAATCTCTGTGTGCTATTTCCTCCTCATCAAAAAAAAGAGAGGCCTGGACAAATGATGCAGCAGTTAAGAGCACAACTCGAGTTCGGTTTCCAGTACCCACGTGGTGGCTAACAATTGTTCTCTGTAACTCCAGTTCCAGAGGATCTGGCATCCTCTTCTGACTTCTGTGGGTATTGCAGACATGTAGTACACTTACATATTTACATACATGCAGGCAAAATACTCGTATACATAAAAAGAAAAGAACAAAAAAAAACAGTGATAGTGGTATTTACCTTATGAGATTGTTGGAAAACTTAATTGAAGAAATAGTTATAGAGCTCTTAGAAAAGCACCTGATGATGGAGCATGGTGACTCATGTCTTTGATCCCAGAACTTGGGAGGCAGAGGCAGGGGGATCTCTTTGAGTTCAAGGCCAACCTCATCTACATAGCAGGTTCTAGGCCAGCTGGGGCTACAGGGAGATCCTGTCTCAAAAGACCAAAAAAAAAAAAAAAGTACCTGATAAATAGTAAATTTCATTAAATGTTAGCTATTATAATTTTGCCTATTTTTCATTTTTTAAATTAGTTTTTTAGATAAGCATACAAAGTAATGGGTTTCATTATGAGTTTTCATACATATGTGTCATTATACATTGTTCTCACTCATTCCTTCCCCCATACTCCTCTGTGCCCACTGGTTTATTTTTCTGCTCTTAATAGATAAAAAATGATATTTAGTTCTGTTTTATTGTAGGCATATTGCCTGTTACATGTAATCTCTACAACAACCTTATGCAGTTAGAGAGTATTCCTAGGTTATAGAGGGGGCAGTTAAAGTACAGAGAACTGGAGCATCTTATTCATGTTGTTAGAAGATAGTACAGTGCAGGGAAGTCAGACTATCCCAGTTCTAATCTCAGCTCCCTTGTAGTTTTGTTCTTGGTGGTGGGGACACAGGGCCTTGTACTTACTAGCCAAGCACTCTGCCACTGAGCTAAGTCCTCAACCCCCCAAGTTCTAATCTCAGCTCTGCTACTTACTGTATTATCTTGAGCAAGTTACTTTTCTGACATTGATTTTAGATTCCTTATCCATAAAATAGGGTTAATAATAGTACCTTAATTCATAGTATAGTGGTGGTCAGGGTAATGAGTTACTGTGTATGAAGTGCCTGACATAATCAAGGCTCAACAAAGTGATGTTTCCATCTTTGTCATCCTCTGTTGTTGTAATTTTCATTATTTTTTCAAATCACCATCATTTTTCCAGAGCCATCTAGTAGTAGATAAGCTCTGTAAATATATACTTGTCTTCCTTGCCACAGGAGTTCTGTCAGGTTTATTTATTTTCTAATAAGCTGATAAAAACAAGGAAAATTTTACTATACATGTGGAATTTATTTCAGAAGTATGCAGATTTAGCTATTCTAGATCCTTAGTTCTTCAGTACATCTGTTTATTTTTAACTGTAATCTTATAAAACTTTAAAAAAATATTTATTATTTTTATTTTATGTGTATGCGTGTATTGCCTGCATGTAGGTAAGTGCACCTGTGTTGTGCAGTGCTCACAGAGGACAGAAGAGACTGTCGGATCCCCAGCCATGTGGGTGCTGGGATTTGAACCTGGGTCTTCTGCAAGAAGAGTCAGTGTCCTTAACTGCTGCGCTCTCTCTCCAGCCCCTAAAACTTCTTTTTAAGAGATGTTTATAGATTTTTGAAATCTAATCATTTAGGACTAAGAAAAATGTGTTAAATCCATTTTAGTGTTTAAAATTAGAATAGGCCCCTTCTTTTCAGTGATACATATTTTTCGAAAATTGCCTTTCAGACTTTTACATGGTGTAGACAGCAGATATGAGTCAGTTTATATGCCTAAATACATTTGGTTCCTTGTTGACAGAAATTAAGTAAACTGATAAAGTAGCCAGAAGTGATATATAGATGATTATTAGCCACAGTGAGTGTATAAAACTTTATAAAGACTTCTCAGAGACCTGCTTTAGGTGAAGGATGGATAACATATAGGGTTGTTTGTGTTAAGTTCCCTCAAGTCCTCATCTTGTCTCTCTTCTTTTTTTTTCTCTACTCTCTCTTTTATTCATTCAGACATCTGTTCAGCAATCATTTTTAAGGGTTTGCTCTTTGCTGGGTACTCAGCTGGTTCTTAGGATAGAAAAGTAAATACACAAAGCTCCCATCCTCCAGGGCTCATAGTCTGGTAGAGCACATGGATGGCAAACAACTACAGCAACTTCCTATGTGCTCTATAGAAGCATGAAAAAGTCTCTTGAGAATTTGGAAGAGGAAACGATTACTGTCATCTAGAGATATCATTGTTCTTCTGGAGGAAGTGACATCTGCCCTGACCTTGAAAGATAAAGTCTGAAATGGAGGACTGGGTATGTAGCTCAGTGGTAGACATCTTGCCTAGTACAGTGAGACCTTAGGTTTAATCCCCAGCAATGGAGGAAAAAAGTGACCCTTTATAGTTAATTCGGCCTTTTTATTTATTGTCACATGGTTTCTCTTACACAACGGTACGTTAGCTGGTAGTCTCCAGCGCACTTAGAGCATCTTATACATCCCCTGGTTTCTCATACCATTCCCTTTTTGTGGGCAAAATGTTCCTTTTCCACCTCAGCACACATCAAGATTCAAGCCAAACTTCTAGCCTCTGCTTCAGTCTTAACCTTTCCTGTTACTCTCACTCCTGGCTTTTCTAACTTAGAATTCCATAACTTTTGTTGTGCTTCTGCTTAGGATTCTTCACAGGTTAACACTGTAAATGGTGGTAGTTGTTTTCTAGGTATAAATTCTTGAGAATGAAAATAATATTCTAAGCATCTTTTTATTGCCAATATTTACCTCATTCTGGTGAATGTTATACCAGTAATTGTTCAATAAATGTTAACTGAGTGAGTGAAAAGACTTAGAGTTGTACAGTTTATGGTTGATAGACCCCTGATTTTTGTGTCATTCAGACATAATATTCCCATTAATATTTACATTTTAGAATTTAGCATTCTTATGTATACACTATTTTGAGCAGGCTCATGTACATACTATAATTTCTCTCCTTTCACCTATGTTTTAGGAGGGCCAAATATGTGGGCGATTACCTCTGAAGAACGCACTAAGCATGACAAACAGTTTGATAATCTAAAGCCTTCAGGAGGATACATAACAGGTTTGTATTTATGCTTTTTATAGTTAATATTATCTTTCTGTTCATAGATCCTAAAATTAGTTTTAATTTTAATTTAACTGCTATCAACTTTGTATTAAGTAGTAAAATTCAAATCCATCAAAATCCTAAAATTAAATACTTTAGTTTCCCTTAAGATATCTTAATCTTTTGATTTGATTTATTATATAGAAGTTCTTTTCTTGAATTCTAAGTGATGGTCAGGAATTTGTTTTATTATCTAACTTCACATCTTAATATTATTTCAAGTTTTCAATTTCTTCTTTTTTTTCTTTTTTTTTTTTTCTCCCAATAGCCCCAGCTGCCTGGAACTTGCTATGTAGACCAGATGGCCTTGAACTCACAGAGATCCACTTGCCTCTGCCTCCCAAGTGCTGGGACTAAAGGTGTGGACCACCACGCCCAGCTTCAATTAATTTCTTGTATCATATGTATTTTCTGGAAAATAATTTCAATCCCCCCTCACACTTGTTTTATTTAGGGTGTTTTTTTTTGTTTTTTGTTTTTTGTTTTTTTGTTTTTTTTTTTGAGGCAGGGTCTTATAGCTCAGGCTGTCTTAACTCGGGATCCTCTTGCCTTCTGAGTGCTGTTATTACAGGTGTGTGGCACTCCCCAGCTCTGGAATCTGTTTTCATAATGCTAGCTCTCTGTCTTTTGAGGCTATGCTAGATAATTAGTTGTTGATGTTAGCAGAAAGACCATCAGAACAAAAAAGAGATTAATTTAGATGTGTCTTTCAATTTCTTTTTCTAAAAATGAAACTTTTAATTTCCGTGCCAGTGCTTCTTAGTGCTTTATGTATAATAATACCTATACCATTTTTCAGCTCTGCGCTATTCATTATCTCATTTAGTTTTCATAGTAGTCCTGTAGGTAGGCACTGTTTTTATCTATATTTATACAGGATGAAACCTAGACTTAGAGATGATGTGTAACTTGCTTATGGCTATAAAGATGATTAGTGCTGATACCTTTCTGCCATCCTCTTACCCATTATAGTGTCTAATGTTATTTCTGTTCTGCTATCTATAACTACCTTACCTGCTATCAGGATTCAGTTGCTCTGCCTACAAGTTAATAATGGCCTGTTATCATTCATGGCTGCTGGAAGATCCAAGATTCCTGAGTCAGTGACTAAGAACTTTATCACTAACAGCACAGCAAGTGATATGAGCATGCCCATGTTTCTGTTGGTTTCCTTTGTTGCCTAATCTGACAAAGATGATATAGAGTGCCAGAAGGACATGCTATAATTTTGAGAAAGCTATCATTTTGTAGCAAGCAATAAAGCAATTTTGTTCCTTGTTCTACTAGGAGACATTATTAATTCATTCTTCATGATTTTTTGCTTACAGACCCCTTTCTGAAAACTTCTTCCTCAGACAAAGCAGAATTTGGGTTTTATGTTCTTGGTATATATAGCAGCATACATAGGAATATGGAGAAACCTGTGGGGGGCTGTTTCCCTGACACTTGGTATTTTTAAATGTAGAACTCTTTTAGGAAGTATTGTTTCTTAACAATGTTTTAATAAATAGTATGTTAACAAGTAAAAGGCCTAATCGTGGAATGAATATCAAAGATAAATATTGTAATTTTTCATCACTGGTCAATAGAACTTCAGTGGTGACTTCTGATTGTTCTAAAATGTAAATAATTTCAAATATATGTTCATAACCCATCTATTCTTTAATGATTGAAGCTAAAATAAATTAACAGCATATACCCATTATTATTCATAAGTATTAGAATAATTCCATTTACTAATGTGCCACTTGACTTTTGTTTTTATTTACTTTCAGGCGATCAGGCCCGTACTTTTTTCTTACAGTCAGGTCTGCCAGCTCCTGTTTTAGCTGAAATATGGTAAAATGTTTTCTTTTATATATGTACTTAAATTTCTGATGACCTTTTTTTTTATAATATTGATAATATAAAATAATTTATTGTTAAGAATATTTCTTCAGCTTCTAGGGAAATAAACTTTATTGAGTAAATCATTGAAATAATTTGGAGTTTTTTTCTATAGGACAAACTTCTAGTTCTATTAGAATTTTAAGAAAAGATATAAATTATCATTGAAAAAATATTTATGTATAATTTGGCAGAATCTCAATCTTTCTGTTATTTTATATTATTTTCATTTCTTTTCATCATCTACAAACCCCAAACTAGCTATTCCTTTCCCTGCTTTTATTAAAAAAATTATCCAGAATATCTGGGGTTGTGTTTTTTCAATGTATTGCCCCGTCATTTTTCTTTATGGAACATTCACATGCTTAAGAGAATGCCAGACACACAACATGCATTCAAATATTTGAACTTATGAATAAATTAAATATAGGGTGTGTGTGTGTGTGTGTGTGTGTGTGTGTGTGTGTGTGTGTGTTAGTCTCACTGTGTAGCCTTGGCTTGCCTAAAACACTGTGTAGACCAGGCAAGCCTCAAACTTGGAGCAGTTCTCCTGCCTTTGTCTCTAGAGTGTCTGGGATTTCAGGGGTGCGCTACCTCTCCTGGCTTAGAATTATATCCTTGAATGATCAGTTTCTAGCTACATTGATGGAAATCCTCCCTAAAGTGTCTACATTATATATAGACTGGCAACATTTTGTTAGATGCTGTCTATGGCCACTATTAATATTTGTTTTATCTTTTTATTATTCATATATAAGTATATTTAATGAAGTGATGATCTACAAGCAGATTGCTTTGTTTTTATTTTCTTAACCTCAACAATAATTTTTATTTTCTCATCACCACCCCACATACCAATCTATTCACTCATTCTCCTTTTAGGGCCTTATCAGATCTGAACAAGGATGGGAAGATGGATCATCAAGAGTTCTCCATAGCTATGAAGCTCATCAAATTAAAGCTTCAAGGCCAACAGTTGCCCGTGGTTCTCCCTCCTATCATGAAACAACCCCCTGTGTTCTCTCCACTAATCTCCGCTCGTTTTGGTATATATTTATTAATTTAATAACCTTATTTGATTGTTCAGTATGATTCTTTGGGAATCAGAAAAGGATTTATTAACACAAAATTACAATCCCCAAACGTCCAAGTTAATTTTCATGTCTTTGAGATAAAAATATTCAATTTACTGCTATTGCTAAGGTGTCCGTGTTTCCCAGTTTTCCAGGAGCAGGTCTGAGTTCATGCCTTCTGTCTTGGTGTTTAATCTTATCAGAATCCTCTTTCATAACTCCTGGTTGTGAAATAAATTACATGTCCCCTTAGTTACAACTGATTTTAAATACTATTTTTAATGAATTTCTTCTGTCATTTATATAAGTAGAAAGTAGGATGGTAGTTACTAGAAGCTGCAGAACGGAAGCTATAGGGGTAATCAAGGAGAAAAATGGGTAATGGGTACAAAATTATAGTTAGAGAATAGAAGTGAATTTTGGTGTTCTATTGTATAGTGGGGTGATTATAGTTAACAATATTGTATTTTATATTCCAAACTAACTAGGAGAAAAGACTTTGAATTTTTTAACACAAAGAAATGATAGATGGTTGAGATGATAGATAAGCTAAATACCCTGGTTTGAGTATCATATAATATATACATGTATCAGAACATCACACTGTACTACATAAATATGTAGTAGTTATGTGTTCTTAAATATAAAATAAAGCAAGAATGTTGAATAAATTTAAACTCTCATAAAATGGTTTAATTTGTAGTGTTTTAATATCATAGATGAGTAGAAATAGGAACTCATTATGTAGACCAGAAATTGAGGCCCAAAAGTTGTAGACTTCATGCTAATTAATTTACATACTCATCAAAGATTACCAGTTGATATGTCTTCCAAGTAATTTTGATTAGCCAAGTAATTTTGATTAGCTGATTTTGAATGGAGCATTCAGTTATGTATCTCTGTGTTGAAAAATACATTCCTTCACTTCCTGATGTTAGATTTGAATATACCCCATTCTTCCACTGTCACACTCCGCTGTAGAGGAACGTACCAAAGTACTGACTGATCATATTTTTTGGAGGGGGGTGTCTTTTTGAGACAGGGTCTCCCTGTAGCCCCAGCTGGCCTGGAACTCATTATGTAGACCAGGCTGGCCTTGAATTCACAGAGATTGGCCTGCCTCTGCCTCCCAAGTGCTGGGATTAAAGGTGTGTGTGCCACCATGCCTAGCTCAGCTGACCATTTTTTTTTTATGTTGTACTTACTGTTCTGAAATTAGGAAACAAAGATCATTACTTTGCTCTTTTAAAGAATTGTCTTTAAGTTCATAGATATGTTGCTTAGAAGAAAAGTGAAATATGTGGTATGTTTGCAAATGATTCACGTACATAAATGTGTCTGCTACAATATCTACTGATTAAAACTGTTTGTGTTTGAGGAATGTACATGTTTATTAGCATGGTAACATAGCAGCATTGTATTTGTTTTTCTTACACAGAATACCACATGTAATCAGATAAAACATTTTATCTTTAAAATACTATATTTAATTGGAAAATGTTGATTAGTTTTAGTCACAGTAAGAAAAGAGAAATTGACTACTGAGCATCTTCATAGTTCATACAAAACAGAATATTAATATTAAAAGCACTAGCTTCTCTACTTCAGATTAAAAACACTTTAGGGACTATTTTAAGGATAGTTTGCCCATGGTGTATCTATAAACACAGGGACTACTCCCTATCCTGTAACTTGATTATATTTTATAGTCGATTTTCTAGGATTGAAAAATGTGTTCTCTTTTATCTTTAGGGATGGGAAGCATGCCCAATCTGTCCATTCCTCAGTCATTGCCTCCAGTTGCACCCATAACAACACCCTTGTCTTCTGCAACTTCAGGGACCAGTATTCCTCCCTTAGTGATGCCTGCTCCCCTAGTGCCTTCTGTTAGTACATCATCATTACCAAATGGAGCCGCCAGTCTTGTTCAGCCTTTATCCATTCCTTATTCTTCGTCAAGTAAGTGTCTAATGAGTCAGTATTTCATGTGAAGAAAGAAGCTATTATATTTGTGCTCACACAAATAGATTTCCTTTGTGGAACTGTCTCGTGTGAACCTCTTCTCTCTTTTTTTTCAGCATTGCCTCATACATCATCTTACAGTCTGATGATGGGAGGATTTGGTGGTGCTAGTATACAGAAGGCCCAGTCTCTAATTGATTTAGGATCTAGTAGGTATGAATACTTAGCATGTACAACACTGTATGCTTTCACTGTGATTTTTTTTTTTTTTTGGTCTTTTTTTGAGACAGGGTCTCCCTGTAGCCCCAAGGTCTCCCTGTAGCCCCAACTGGTCTGAAACTCACTATGTAGACCAGGCTGGCCTGGAATTCACAGAGATCTGCTGGGACTAAAGGTGTCCACACCCCACTCAATGTAACTTTTTTTTTTTTTTTTTTTTTTTTAGGTATGCGTGTATTGCCTGCATGCAGGTAAGTACACCCATGTCATGCAATGCCCATGGAGGTCTCACAGAGATTTGCCTGCGTCTGCCTCCCAAGTGCTGGGATTAAAGGCATGCGCCACCATGCCCGGCTCAATGTGAAATTTTATTTAATGTACTTATTTAATAAGCCCTGACTTATCCAGATTTTACTTCTTAGTGGAAAACTATAAATACTTAAAATCTTCTACTGATAATTCACATAAAATGTTATTTTTGATATTATTAAATATCTGTATTTTACTTTTGAAAAAATAGGTAATCAAAAAAATATTCTGCTGTGTTTTAGTGAACTTTTTTCCTCAAATTACGTACTTTTATGAAAATGTGTGTATTTCTCAAGATGTCTCATCAACATTGTATGTTGTTAATTCCTTTTCTTGAATAAATTCTGCTGATTTGAGTATCTTTTAAACTTTAGAAAACACAAAAGTATCATTTACCACCTGTCATAGGAATCATTATTGTTCTCTTCAAAGCAGGGTACAAAAAGGGTTACCTTTGGCCCAGAACAATATTTGTATCACAGCTTAAACACCAACTGATTTTGTGACCTTATTTTTTCTTAACATCACTGCATCATGCTTATCAAAGCAGATAGTTATATCTTTTAGGTGTGTTGGGAAGATAGGAAATGCTGCTTTGTAAAGGGCCTGGCACAGTGCCCAGATATTAATGTTCTTGATAGATAAAGTTCTATATATTGATTGCCATTGTATTATATAGAAGGTATGATTCTTAATGTTGTCTTATAAAGTTTAATGAAATGTATTTTATTTAGTAACAAAATTTTAAAATAAATTTCATTATAGCTCAACTTCCTCAACTGCTTCACTCCCAGGGAACTCGCCCAAGACTGGGACCTCAGAGTGGGCAGTTCCTCAGCCTTCAAGATTAAAGTATCGGCAAAAATTTAATAGTCTAGACAAAAGCATGAGTGGATACCTCTCAGGTAAATGGTGACAGTGATTAAAAGTAAAGTCTTTTATATAGCTGCGTTTGAAAAACTGTTATTTGAATTAGTGCTTTGTGTCTTCTCTAAACTTCTAACATTCAAAAAATTTAGAAGGCATTTGATACAAATAGTATAAGTTGTGTAAGAGTTAAAAGATGGATTCAACTTAATTGCCTTATACCAAGTTAAACACAAAGATATATACCCAGCTTTGTGGAAAAACATCTCTCAAGATCAAATTTTATCCTCTGAGCTTTGAACTGAATGAAAACCCCAAATCACAAGGTGTCAGGGGAGGGGGTTATGACCTTTAGTCTTAGCTCTCTTTGTCTGAAAGAAACTCATTTTCTCTGCTTGCCCTCTCCATTGCTCACCCTTTAAGCTGTAACCCAAATGTGTCTGTAGAACATTTGAGTACAGTTTAGAACGTTATCTAAACTTTATTAATTGAGGATAGTGAAGGTAATATACACAAGATAAATACTTGTAATAGGCAAGAATAGTTCCTACCTTCTAACTTCCCCACTCCTTTGTCACTCAATAAGTTATTATGTAAGACAGAGTAAAATAACAGATAAAGAAAATCTGGAATAAATGCACATTGGAGATTCACTCAGCCATAAAGAAGAATGGAATTGTGCTGCTTGCTAGATAATGGGTGCTACTGGAGATCATCCTATTAAGTGACATCAGTTAGACATGAAAAACAAATACCACATTTTCCCTTGTGAGTCCAAGAATTCTTTATAGATGCATAAAACCAAATATGACATGAATTCAGAAAGGAGATGGGAGGGAGGAAGGAGACCAGCAGGAAGGGGAAAGGGAAAGGGACTACCTAAAGGGAAGGAATATGAGGGGGATGAATCTGATCAAAGTTCATGATGTAGTTGAAATCGTCTATATGAAACCCAACACATATATGTATTCCAATTTAAAAAACAGAGCTTTCTTTACACTCTTAGGGGAGCATAGAGTGGGAGAAGTTAATACTGAAGGTATCAGGATAAACATTTTCTAGGAAGAGAACATTTAAGCTTTATTATGAAAGAATCATCATTTGACAGGCAGAGGGAGGACAAGAAATTCTAAATCAAAGGCTAGATGGCACATCTAAAGAGTAAAAGTGCTTTATTACATTGGAGCAGCAGAGGGGTAAGGGAGCAATGAGTTTTGAAAGTCAATGAGCAAAAACATAATGTATTTTCTTTAAAGATACACATTTTTCTTTCTAAAAGCAAAAGAATTATACCCACAAATTTCATTCAGGGTAGTGAATATCTTTTGATGGAGAGGGAAGTATAGAGATAAATTAGAGAATGGGGATTGCTTCAGGACATTTAGTTATGATCTGATTCCTAACATGGCCGGTAGTTTATAGAGAATGTTTCATTATTGTACTTCATAACTTGCATATATTCTGTGTTTTTACGTTCATCTACTTCTTTACAGCTGATTTTCTTTTAAAAAATTTTTTAGCTTAGGGTTTTTATTTTATGTGTATGAGTGTTTTGCCTGCATGTAAGTGCCCCCATGTCATGCAGTGCCCACAGAGGCCATAAAAGGGCATCAGAACCTCTGGAACTGGAGTTATGGATGGTTGTTAGCCACCATGTGTGTGCTGGGAACTGAATGCTGGTCCTCTGCAAGAGCTGCCAGTGCTCTTGACCACTCTGAGCCATCTCTCCAGACCCTAGCTAAGATTTCCTATAATTTTATTGTTTTATGAAACAAGGTATACTGTGTTTTTCCACCTTTTATAAAAAACATTCTACTGCTCTGAAGGGGTGGGTTATTATAAATGATGTCTTAGTGTACTGTGTCCTAGTTTTAGTAATAGTGTTTTTTTTTCCTGGTGTTACATAAAATAGTAGTGTCTTGAATGTTAGAATCAGTGAGAATATGATATTGAAACCTACTGGAGATTAATATGTTCATGATTTCATTCTTTGAAAACATGAACTTGCTGGGCATGGTGGTATACGCCTTTATTCTCAGCATTTGGGAGGCAGAGACATGAGGATTTCTGTGAGATCAAGGCCAGCTGGGGCTACAGGGAGACCTTGTCACAAAAAAAATTTTTAAAAAGAAAGAAAAGAAAACACAAACTTCTTTGGATGCTGTGATTTGCAGTAAAGAATAAAAAATATTTTTATTGATTCTTTGAGAATTTCATACAATGTATTTTGACTATATTCAGGCCCCTTTTTTTTCAATTTAACAAAACTGGATTGAAATGACATATTCAAAAATGTTTACAGGTCTAAAAGTCCATTATCAGAAAAATGGATAAGTAAATTATATTGTATTTATATAACAGAGTACATCAATAAAAATTGAACTGATGCAGCAACCAGAATGAATTTCAGAGATATGATACTAAATGAAAGAAGCCTGGTACAAAAAAAAATTCAATTTATTTTTATGAAGCTAAAGAGCAAGAATCCTAATTAATAGTGATAGAAATTAGAATACTATAATTACTGTTATCATGGGGCTATGCCTGAAACATTTGTATCTTGATGTGAGTGTTGGGTACATGTGTAGTTAACCTATGTAAAAATAAACCAAGTCTTAGTATTCCTGTGTATGTACCATAACATTGGCAGTGGTTTTTATTTTTGTATTTTTGGCAGTGCTAGGGATTAACCTGGAACCTTATTCATGCTAGGCAAGTGCTCTATCACTGAGCCATATCCGTAGCCCCTTGACAGGTGGTTTTGCATTGAAATCTGAAGGGTGACACCTGGGGAGTCAGCTGAGAAGAAATTAGCCCTAGTATAACTTTATCTGTTATACTATATATATATAGTATATATATATATACTATATATCTGTTATATATAATATGTGACACACATTATAGAACATTTGTGTGTTGTATTGTTTTCAAAGAATGTTGTTCTGAGATACAAAAGGATAAAGCAATTGTGTGTGTGTGGGGGGGGGTTTCTAACTTTATTGTGCAGTTTTTAAGCTTGAACTTTATAGATGATAACATTGTTCCACAATGTCAAAAACTTGGACATGCCTGGAAGGAGCCTGTGATATGGTTCAGGTACAGGCAGTATTTGATCAGTGGTTTAAAAGTACTGTGACAGTGTTGATGGAGAAGTGAATAGCTCTTGAGGATATAGGAGAGGAGGTTTCACAGAAGTGATAAATTTTGAGTTCACTCTTTGTAGCAGGAGCTTTTGCTGAGGAGACGGTGTATACACTGTTGTATGCAGAGTTACAATCTTGATTCAAACTGAACCCAGAGGAGGGGCTGACTCTTCTGGTTCTCCTAGCTCAGTCACCTAGACATGGGAAGTGGGACACCTATTGACTAGAAGATCATCCCTAGAGATTAGAGTACATACAAGATAGTGCATAGCCACAGAGTAGCTTATGGAAGCAAATGTTCCTCTGAAACAGAAAGGGATCCCAGCACTGAAACAGAAAGGGATCCCAGCACTGAAACAGAAAGGGATCCTAGCACTTGAGAGGCAGAGGCAGGCCTGGTCTACATAGCAAATTCTAGGCCAGTTGTAGCTACAGGAAGACCCTGTCTCAAAAAGACCAAAAAAAAAAAAAATTGGGGGGTTGTAGAGCTCAGTGGTTAAAAGTGCATACTGCTCTATCAGAGGACCTGAGTTTGATTGCCAGCACCAACATCAGGCTGCTCACAACTGCTTGTAACGCCAGTACTGAACACACATACACAAACCCACACACATATACACGTAATTTAAAAATAAAATAAAAATATTTTAAAATGTATTTTTTATTACTGAGAGAAAAGCTGAACAGCTTAATACATGTGGCAAGCATTCAATAAATGTTAATTATTATCAGATACACTCAAGTAAGTTCCCATTACATCTTAAATACAGGACAGCTTAAATTCCAACTTCATTTTTTTAGCAAATATTGTGTAAATATCCATTTACCAGGTGTTGAGGATGTATTAGTTAATAACACAATCATTTTTCTCAGAAGTAGCAGAAAAGAAGAAACAAAGAGTAAACTGGTGAATAAAACTTACAATAGAAGTTATAATGGAAGATAGGAAGGAAACAGGAGGCATAGTGGATGATACAGTAGACAGAGAACACCTTTCTGAGAAGTTGACATTACGACTTAGTTCAGGAGGACCTAGATGTATAATGAAATGAAATTATAGCACTTGATGTTAGATACCAGTGTGTAAGAGTGAGGGGTCATAAGCAACGAATCACTGAGTGGACAGTAATGCAATTTATAGAGAAGGGAAACACTGAGGAAAAGTGATTTGGAGTGAAAGTTAGGAAGAGAGGCATGATAGGGAGAGAGACGTTTTATATGCATTCTATTTGAGATGCCTGTGAAACATGTAAGTCAGTTTTTGATTGGAGAGAGGAGTGTAAAGAGAGAGGAGAGCTTTGGGCTGCAGATGTACACTTGGGAATCACCAGGCTCTGAGTGCTTACTGAAAACCATGGAAATTGATATGACTGCACAGAGAGAAAAAGGTGCTCAGGACAGACCTGGTGGGAATGACAGCATTTATAGATCATTTAGGAAGTGAGAAAATAGAGGCAAACAAACAGTAAGAGAAGAGAAGATCTGAGAATGTGTCAAGGGAGGTGTGTAGGAATACAGGAAGGCTGAAGAGCCTCTCCTTGCCTTGCTTCATGGCTTGCCCATTCACCTCAGGCCCTGTGAGTACTGCTGTCCTGATGAAAGTGCGTGGAAAAACACTTGATCCTCACAAGTTCTAGATTTTGAACTCTTTGGAGCAGGGACTGTGTTTAATTACTATAAAATGCTCAATACCTGGCCCATGGTACAAACATTTTGATAATAAAAGTTCCCAAGAAAGCAGCAACATTATTCACATGACCTAAAGAGGCTAAGGACGTTTTTTCTTTATGTTTTTCTCAATCAGGTTTTCAAGCTAGAAATGCCCTTCTTCAGTCAAATCTTTCTCAAACTCAGCTAGCTACTATTTGGTGAGTTTATCCATTAATATGATTTTAAACTCTTGATCCTCTTATAAGAAATCTTTCAGAAAGATTATTTCTGAAAAAACAAGCGTAGAAAGAAAAATATTTGTCTCTGTAAAAATTTGTTACTCAAACGTGCTCCATAAAAGTGGACATTTGAAAGTTTATATTCACTTGGGAAGCAAATGTTCTTGAGACCTTACCATTTAATTATAGGTAAAACTGTAGTTTTCTTAATGACTTCTATAGACAATCACAGAATATCTCATTTTTAATATATAGGTAAACGTAGTTTGACAAGTGAATTGAACGTGAAATAGGATGCACCTTCTCAGAATGGGCATTTATCATGCTGTTTTGTTTATTTTCTTCACTCTCTTTTGGGTTATGAAAATTAAAGGTAAAAATTAATTCACTTTTCTGATACATTTACATTTCATTAAAATGTTAACCTGGCAGTCATACTTCCATTATTACTCTAAGAAATAAAAAGTATACTCTTTAGATAGTCTTAGCAAAAACTCTCAATAGGCTTTGTAAGGTGTGGATTTTCACATTTTCTTTAGGACTCTGGCTGACATTGATGGTGATGGACAACTAAAAGCTGAAGAGTTTATCCTTGCAATGCACCTCACTGACATGGCCAAAGCTGGACAGCCATTACCACTGACTTTACCTCCTGAGCTTGTCCCTCCATCTTTCAGGTTAGTGTCTCCGGGGTGCAGACCTATGGTTTTCATCTCTTAGCAGCTGTGATTTTACTTAGAAATGTAGTGGAGCCTGTGCTCTAGTTTAGAGGAAAGTTAAATATTTACACTGGCCTTTGATTTTCTTATTCAGTGAGTTATACTAGAAATAAGTAAATATTAGAGATAGCTATGTTTTCACCTTGTCATAAAGAAGGAAACTTATAACTAAAGAGATTAAGAGAAATTTGCCCAGGAATAGCCATTAGTTGAACACTAATTGGAATCCACATCTCTTTGGCTTAATATCCATTTACTTTATTTTTTTTGTTTGTTTGTTTTGGAGAGGGCCGTGTTGGTTTGGTTTGGTTTGGTTTGGTTTGGTTTGGTTTGGTTTGGTTTGGTTTGGTTTTTTTGAAGCAGGCTCTCATTATGTAACCCTGACCGGCCTGGAACTCAATATGTAGACCAGACTGACCTCGAACTCATAGAGATCTGCTTGCCTCTGCCTTCTGAGATTATGGTTACTCTGTATTATAACTAAAGACCATACTGTGTTTTAAGTATCTTTAATACTATACTTTAAGATTAAATTGCTTTGATCATTGTTAATCTATATTTTTTAGTCTGAAAATTCTCAGACTGTATGATGCTGTTTGTTTGTTGTTTATTTTTTCTTAGAGGAGGAAAGCAAATTGATTCCATTAATGGAACTCTGCCTTCATATCAGAAAACACAAGAAGAAGAACCTCAGAAGAAATTACCAGGTGTTAATTTTATAATTAATTAATTTACATAAAAGTGTTTATATTCTTAAATTTTATATGCTATATAAAAATTATTTAATGGGTGGGATTTATATGTGTGTGTGCGTGCGTGTGTGTGTGTGTGTGTGTGTGTGTGTGTGTGTGTGTATGTTACTGGGAATTGAATCCACAGACTTTAACTAGGCAAGCATTTCTATCACTGTGCTATGTCACCACCCCAATGGGATATCTACTTCTTTATTTATTTATTTTAATTAAGAGGGAAAAAAAAGAAAATTATGAAGGAAGAAGGGACAGTGTGTACATTTGACAAGTTAGAGGGTTTCTCACATGTTAGACAGAATCAGAACAAGCTTTGTATAAACTCTTAGCTTTGAAAAAAGTTTAAAATACTCATTGAAAGAGTACACATGTAGCTGTTTTAAATTATTTGAAAGTTAGTGAAAAGATTGGGGCTGTAGCTCAGTAGTAGAGTGTTTACCCAGCATATGCAAAGCCCTGAGTTTAATCCCCAGCACTGCAAAACAAAACAAACAAACAAAAACCAACCTTCTCCAGAAAGTTAATGATATATATCAAATAAAATACGTTGATTATCCTTGAAGAAAACTCTGGGGAAAAGGTAAAATGGTATTTCTTATTGACATGGAGAGTAAAATTACTTTTCTCTTTGAGTCAAACATAGAAATTTGTGGGTTTTAATGAATATTTTTGGAAGAAAGTGAATAATTTTCTATTTACATTTGGGTTAAAATTATTCTTAGAAGAAAGAGCCAGAGAGTAAGAGCACTCAAATGACCACCAGGCAGAGTGTAGGAAGTAGGTAGCAGGTTCTGTAGGCTAACTGTGGGAAAGCATACAGTGGCCTTTTTCCTTCTTTCTTTTTAGTCACTTTTGAGGACAAACGAAAAGCCAACTATGAACGAGGAAACATGGAACTAGAGAAGCGACGCCAAGCCTTGATAGAGCAGCAGCAGAGGGAGGCGGAGCGCAAAGCCCAGAAAGAGAAGGAAGAGTGGGAGCGAAAACAGAGAGAAATACAAGAACAAGAGTGGAAGAAGCAACTTGAACTGGAGAAGCGCTTGGAGAAACAGAGGGAACTGGAGAGACAGCGGGAAGAAGAAAGGAGAAAAGAGATAGAGAGACGAGAGGTTCTTTTGAAGTTATTTCCTAAGAAAATCAATAATTTAATAAGCAAATACGTTTCATTTAATAAAAACATGATTATTTTAATTTCTTTTTAATTTTTATTTTTATGTGTAAGAGTGTATTGCCTACACATGTTTATATATGTGCACCTGTGTTGTGTAGTGCCCACAGAGTCAGAAGAGGACATTAGATCCCCTAGAACTTGAGTTACCAATGGCTGTTAGCTGCTACGTGGGTGCTGGAATTCAAACCCGGGTCTTTTGCAAGAGCAGCCAGTGCTCTTAACCACTGAGCCATCTCTCCAGCCCCTATTTTTAAAATTATTATTGTCCCGTTTCATCTATATTACTTCATTCTTCTTTACTCAATATTTATATATGAATCTCCCTTCTCTTGAGATAAAAAGAGCCCTTGCATGTAAAGGCTTTTGGGGGCTAAGTAGTAGAGATTTATAGAAGACTATACTGTATGCAAGTGATACCCCAGTTAGAAGAGGACTGAGTGCACAGCTGAGTCAGGAGAGGAGCTAAGGTTATTTTCACAGCAGGAAGTCAGCCTAAGAAGGTCACTGGATAAAAGCAAGCTTAGGGCTTAGAATCAGAGTCTGAAGAATGGAAAGATCAGAGTGAAAGTTGGGAAGGGAAGAACTAGAGAGGAATCAAGAAAGGGCCTCACGATGGCATTGCATGATGTCCCTAGAAACACTGACTGTATTTAAAGGGCCAGGAAAGGAACACAGTGAATTATAGTCCATTAAAGAACATAAATAAAATTTTTCCTTCTCTGATACCAGAATAAAGGTGTAATTATTCCTCTTTTTATACTTATGAAGTCACCCTTTAATTTATTAAAGGAAAAATATAATAAAAGAATGATCCTGTGAAGCAATCAGAAAGCAAAAAATAAAAGCCACTTTTGTGGAAATTTAAGGCCCATTGAGAAAACTAAATTTTCCCACCTATTCTTAGGCACTATGGACCACTAACTGTTAAACACTGTTGTCCCATAAGTTTTGAATGATGCAAAATTTTAAATTAAAAAATTAACTTTAATTCATTATTTTCAGGCAGCAAAACAGGAGCTTGAAAGACAACGTCGATTAGAATGGGAAAGAATTCGTCGACAGGAGCTTCTCAATCAAAAGAATAGAGAGCAAGAAGAAATTGTCAGGCTAAACTCTAAAAAGAAGAGTCTCCATCTTGAGTTGGAAGCACTGGTGAGAGAGAGAGAAATTTTAAGCTCTTGCCTAAATGATCTCTTATAGTTTCTTTCAGTTTGGCAAATCTAGTTTTTAGCTAATACTGGCCTCTATACTTAACTGAATTTTACACAGCAAGTGTTAAAGGGTCAAATTCTTTGTTTGAAATGCAAGGTGAGAAGACAAAAAGATTTAGAACTGTAGGCCTTTACAACCCTAGATTCCTATAAGCCTGGCCTTGCTGAATTAGTAGGATTGTGAAAAATGAATTCATACCTGTGTGGTAGAGGCAAATTTAAGCCTTGTGTAATTGTAGCACAATATTTTATTTTGTTGACTTGAATGACATTAAAATTATTTTAAAAATAAAATCTTCATAATATCTTTAGTCAGAAAGATGCTATTTTATGGCTTCTGATGAATTTGTATACACACCGTAATTATTAATCACTCTATAGTGCTACAGCAGAGGTCTAAAAGCTTTAGTTGTATGCTCTGTGGATATCTGTCTGAACCATCATCTTGATGGTTTATTTTTCCTTAAAAATATGGAAAGATGGACTGGTAAGATGGTGCAGCAGGTAAAGGTACTTGCCACCAAGTTTGATGAGCTGAGTTTAGTCTCCAGGACCTATATGGTAGGAGGGAACTAACTCTCTCAAACCCCTACATATAAACACACAAAATACAATAAATAAATAAATAAATAAATAAAT